CCCCCCCCCGTCTGCTCCCCCCTCCTCATATTTTCTTTTTCCCAGTTTCTGTTTCTGATTCTGGAAACCTCGTTATGGGAAACGGTCATCTCATCATTTGCATGGAAATTTCAATGGTTTTGCGGTTTTTAGCCTCTTACTAACTTTTGCCCATTTATCTCACCGTCATCCCTGAAATCATCCTCGAGGAACTGTTGAGCTTCTGCGATTAGGTTAGCTTTCAAGTTGTTGGTATGCTTGTGTTCCTGAACCTTGTGGGAAGGGGGGGGGGGCAAGGGGGTCGAGAAATAGGGCGGTTGGATTGGTTGTCAATCCACCAGTGTGAACCGTTGTGGTGCACATGTTCAGTTAGACCTTGTGATGAATTTGTATAGGATCTGGAGACAGTAGCCTGCTTTGTCCAGGCCCTGGACCTTCGTAGCATTTAGGAAGTTGCTGGACTTTTCCCCTGAGCCTACTGGGCCTACGTGGACCTACCATATTAGCTGAAAAGGGCCTGCCGGATCCCTGTCAAATTCTACAGCTACCCCTGGCCGTCTAGAGCTTCCGGTGAGTTTCCTGTTGCGAAATTTCGGGTCTGTCCCTGTGTCTATTCCTGTTACCATTCTACCCCAGCTCGAGGCACCGGAACACAGCACAAGGACACAGACTTGGACCTCAGGGAAGTACATGGCACATGCACATTAGTGGTAGTTCACGTACACACTTAGAAAACACAGCAAATCACAGCAGAGAAGACCCAGATCTCGGAATTCCCTAGAAATCAGAGCACAAGAACAACATTTTCTCAGAAATTGCGATGATGGAATCTCGGACTGATTTTCTGCGGGTCATTGCATAAAAGGATATTCATAGATACGCAGAAGGGAATCGGCTTAGGAAGCACTGAAAGAGATGTTCCGCAGACGTTGGTTTTGCTCGTCGTTCCGCGAAGTGGATCGAGGGAAATCGTATCTTTGCCACCACTTGGTGAAGTTTTGCGTTGGAGACCTGATGATTACTTCTTTCCGATGTCGTGTTTGCAGGTCAGTGGCATGCAAAGGGACAGTGGGACTTACTGCGATGAGCCAGATGACGCAGAGGATTACTCTGCATGGAAGAGCACATTCAGGCTTGTTGACAAGTGAGTAGCCATGTTTGGCGAAGTACACAGGGCAGTGCTTCTCTTGTTGGGTCCCCTATATTTGTTTGCACACCTTCTGAATAGCTATTTGGTACAATGTTGTCCACATGCCACCACAAAACTCTCTGCATATCTCTCTTTCTTTTCTTTATCCCTGCATGGGTTATATTTCTCACTAGGGTACCTGTTGCGGCTACGCCCGCAATAAAAATGAAAAGTTTGCCAATAAGTTTATGGACTCTCTCTCTCTCTCTCTCTCTCTCTCTCTCTCTCTCTCTCTCTCTCTCTCTCTCTCTCTCTCTCTCTCT